GCACACACACACATGCGCCCAGCATGCGTTTTAAGCCACTGGGTCCGGAACTGGAACCACAGTTGACTACATGGGAGTTCAGCGACATAGCCATTACACTAACTGCTGGTTCCGCAATTAAAAATTCTTTTTTTTTTTTCTTTTTTGGAGAGGTTTTCGCTATAGGACGCGTGCGCTCGCCAGACAGACAGAAAGAGACAGAGATATAGAAAGCGAGAAATCACCCCTCAGGGAGGATGGCCATGCCACAATCCCTTCTCCTCCATTCTCCTCTCGGGATCTTGGGCACGCACGCAAGCACACATGCCCAACGTGAGTTTAAGCCACCGGGTCCAGGACTCGAACTGCAGTCGACTACATGGGAGTCCAGCGACATAGCCATCATGCTAAATGCTGGTCCCACCAATTAAAGAATTCTTAAAAAAAAAAAAAAAAGTCAGGCCCCATCCCTCTCCCTGTAGCCCCATTCACAACCCTCCCATGCATGTATCACTCACACCTGGTGAGGATCCCGCAGGGTACTCTGGCCCTGTGTCCCTAACTTCTGCTCCACCTCTTCCCCAGCTCTTTCATTTCCAGCCTCAGTTGCTGCCTACAACAGGACAACCCCATTCCCCCTCAGCATTTCTGCACTAGCTACACTGAGACCACTCTGCAGTTCCCAGTTTGGGAGACTCGATTGAGCTCTCAGGGAGGCCTCAGCCCAGACCTGACTACAGGGTGTGAAGCAGCCCCTGGCTATTAGAATACAACAGCCAGACTTGCTCCATGGCACAGTGTTAAATGCTGATTGAGACGCTGGATCCCACATGGCACCCTCAGTTCCAGTCCCAACCCATTCAGCCTGAGACACGTTGATCATGGGGTCATGAGATACCAAATGCTGATCTAATTATGACAGAATCCTGGAGGCAAGAGGCCCAGAATAGAGCATCTAGTTAATATGATTTAGGCATCAAAGAAGGCTGCCTGGAGGAAGAATCATTAGAGACGGCTCCTGTAAAATAGGTAGTTTTCCAGGAAAACAAAGGGATGGATGATGGGTGAGTGCTCCAGGCAGGGAGTTGGGCAAGTACAGCAGCCTAGAGACCTAGAGAATCACAACTGGGGACCAGCAGGTGGTGTTGGGTTAAGGCACTAGATCCCACATGGCTGGCTGCACAGTTCGAGTCCCAGACCCAGTGGCTTGAAAATCACACTGGGCACATGTGCATATGTGCCCAAAATCCCAAGAAGAGAATGGAGAAGGGATTGCAGCATGATGGGCATCTGGGGGGAGAGGATGATTTTCTCACTTTCTCCCTCTGTTTCTCTCTGGTGAGCACACACCTCATATAACAACAACAAAAAGATTCATAACTCACATCTGTTACCCACCTGTAGACTAGTGCTTAGGGACCCCAGACCCACATGGCTGACAGTGGTTCAAATACTTCCCCTTTGGCTTGAAAACACCTTGAACACCACTGTACTGTGTTAACCCCAAACCCTGACAGTATGGAGAAAAGAAGGGATTGTGTTGTGACCACACCCTACTTAGGGGTGCTTTCTTCATCTCCCCCTGGCAAGGGCACATGCTCTTTGGCAACATGGAAAAAAAAAGAAAAAAAAAAACTCACAGGCAGCTTTGTGGCCTGAGGGTTAAGCCAGCCAGATCCCACAGAGCTTACCTCCTGTTCTGCTGGAGTCCCCTGACACAGTAACTTGACAAACACAGCAAGTGCCTGTGTGAGCATGCCAAAATCCCGAAAGAAACGGAAAATGGGGTGCCAACTGACCGTGTCCCGTGTGGTGTGCTTTCTCTTCTCCCTCTGTCTCTCTCTGGTGAGTCATTATACCTTTGTACCTACCCCCCCCCCCAAAAAAAAAGGCAGAGTGGGTGAGAGTGGAACTAGGGTGAGAATCCTGTGCCTATAGGTCAGCAAGTGGCATGGTGGTTAAAGGCGCTGGATTCCCACATGGCCGACTGTGGTTCAAGTCCTGAACTTGGCAGCTTGCTTTCTCGCTTTCTCTCTCTGGTCAAATTTAAAAAATAATAAGTGGAATTAAATAAAGAATTCTTTGAGACCAGCAGTTAGCATAATGGCTGTGTCACTGGACTCCCATATAGTCGACCGTGGTTCAAGTCCCGGACCCGGTGGCTTAAACTCACACTGGGCGTGGGTGCATGCATGCCCAAGATCCCGAGAGGAGAATGGAGAAGAAGGGATTGAGGCATGGCCATCCCCCCTGGGGAGTGATTTCTTGCTTTCTGTCTCTCTGTCTATCTCTCTTTTTCTGATGAGCACACGTGCCCTATAGCAAAAGCCTCTCCAAAAAAAAAAAAATTCTTTTTACAGAATTATTTTATTTAACTTTATTTACACACTGCAGCCAGCCACATGGGAGTCTAGTACACTTAACCACGACGCCACTTGCCAGTCCTAAATAAAGAATTCTTTAAAAAACAACAACAAAAACCTGTGCCTACGTCCAGGAAGCCAGCAGACACTGACTGGGAAGTGGCCGGGGGTGGGTTGTTGTTGTTGTTGTTGGTGTGTGTGTGTGTGAAGCGGCCTCGCCTTTTCTCCTGGGCTTTGGCTTCAGTACTTGACCCTTCTACCAGGGCATGTTCCACAGCCCAGCTGCTCATTAGCCAGTTCTGGCAAGTGTCGCGCGCCCTCTAGTGGTATTGAGCTGTGATTCTGCAAAGACTCGGAGATGGGAACCCTGGGTCCTCCTGTACTCTTAGCTACTCTGGTTACCTGGAAATAAGGAAGGGCAGAAGTGGGACCAGCTGGCAGCTCTGGATCCCCGAGAGCATGGGTGGGTTCGGGACACCAGTACGGATCTCCAGGCTCCCCACGTCGAATCCTCTTTCACTGTGGGATCTTTCTTTGCAGGGAAGTAAGGTGAAGGACATTCCCTTACCCAATAGACCACTGATTCTGCAAAGCCTCTGGGTGACACCTGGTAATTCACACACAGCTAGACAGTCAGGAGGATGTTTTCACACAACTCCGGGAGCAGAGGAGGTGGTTCCACAGATGCCGTATATTCCCCACACTCTGTGAGGGCCCCCACACCCTGCACCTGCCTGGAGCAGCCAGAGCACAGACTGACTTTATTGGAGCTCCAACCCAGGAAGGCCTAGGAGGACAGAAGTGTAGATGGAATTTTGAGAAGTGCAGTACATAGGATCTAGTCCCTTTTCCCACGTTCCACGAGGTTACCTCTCTCCTGTACCATTCATTCATGATTCGAGAGTCCTAGCAGGGCCAGCAAGTAGTGTGGTGGTTAGGGGCACTGGATTCCCACATGGCCAACCGTGGTTCGAGTCCTGGACCTGGAGGCTTCTTTTCTCATTTTCCCTCTCTCTCTCTCTCACTCTGTCCTTCTCTGGTAAAATTAAAGTAAGTAAATAAATAAATAAAAAGTTAAATGAAATAATTCTTAAAAAAAAGAAAAAGAGTCCTAGGAGCTGGGAAAGGGTGGGGTGGGGGAAATTTAACAGTGAAGTACAGAAATTTCAAACTACAGAGGGGACCCCTGCTTTGGAGGAAGACACCTTCAGTAGGTGTCTTTTGTAGGAAGAGCAGGGGTTAATTAGAGCAGAGGCTGGATCAGAGGGTAAGAAAAGGCACCAATGAAACCCTATTGTAAAGATCTTGTGGCCTGAGGGAGGTGTCCCATTGCTTCAATACCTGAAAGTGAAGAAAGCCTGAACAATTCATTCAGTGACAGGGCCTGTGACAGGTGTCAGAGATAAGCACTGGACTATCAGATGTTTGGAGGAGACTATAAATGATTAATAGGGACCAAACGGTAGCTGGTGGTTAAGGCAGCTGGATCCCCATGACCTACTGATCAGTATGAATCCTGGACCCAGTAGCTTGAAGAACACACAGGACACATGTGCGTGCCCAAAATCCCAAAAGGAGAATGGAAGAGAAGGGATGACAGAGTGGCCATCCACCCTGGAGGTGCCTTTTCACTTTTCCCTCTCCTTCTGTCTCCTGTGGGTGCACATGCCCTGTAACAAAACAAACAAACAAAAACAAAAACCAGGCTGGGCTGGGGGACAGGAGAGCAGGTTATTTAATAATGATGGGATGAGCTGGGAGGACGACCCCCCCCCCCCAGTGTGTTGTCTTTCGCCCCCCGCCCCGTTTGTTTTCTGTTATGGGGCAGGTAGACTCACCAGAGACAGAAATTGAGAAATCAACCTCCAGGGAGGATGGCCACACAGCAAGCCTTTCTCCCTCTATTCTACTTTCGGGATTTTGGCATGCATGCCCTTGCAACTGACTGTCGCGTTTCAAGCCACCAGGTCTGGGACTCCAACCAGTTAGGGTTACGGTTATGTGGGAGTCCAGCGACGTAACCACTACGCCATCTGCTGGCCACGGGGAGGACCCATTTTAACATGAGTAAAATCAAAGGAATGGGGACACGTTATTTCAGTGAATTTTGTTTTTCGAGAAAAGCATGAGCAGCTATCTTATAATGGGGGTGACTGAATGGGTTCACAGGAACTAACGGGAAGCGCCCTAAGCTGCCAGCCAGGTGCAAGTCCACCACCCATTAGGCACTTGGACACGCATGAACGCGTTCCCCAGTGGCAATGAGCTCAGGATGGCCAGGGGTTCCACGGCGGAGAGGTGACCTCGAGAGGGAGGCTTCCCGAAAGATCGGGCATAGAGACCCGAGAAGAAGCAAAACGGAGGGGCCGAGCTCCGTCTACAGGTGGAACGGATGGGGCGCCAGGAGAGGCCAGAGACGAGATCAAGTACATCTGGATCGTTCGGTGAGGACGCCAGGGCTTTGTCTTGTAGGAAGGGGCGATCAGACTGGAGTCAGGAAGGAGCAGTACACACCTGAGTTTTACGAACCGGGAATCCTGGAGCAGGGGAGGGACCGGACCCTTGGGGTGGAGAAGCGGGCTGGAAGGGCGTGGCCTAGAAACCCCCGACTTCGCAAGGCGCAGGCGCAGTCTGCGGCGGGCGGGAGAAGGGCCTTACCTCGCAGCTGCGCCCCGCCCGGCAAACAAATATTTGGCATTCCAGGCTCGCTCGGGGGCGGCGCCTAGGAGTAACGTCCTCTCCTCCCCCCGCGCCTGATTCGCTTAGCGCTCCGGGGAGGGGTTGCCGCGCGCGGCGGCTCGCCTCTGCTCCTGGTCGCCGTGTCCCTGTACGAGTCACTTCCGTCTCGGCTCCTTAGTCTCTTCTCTTGCCAAGTAGGGACACGCTGCTGTGTGGCAAGGTCTCGGAGGTGCCCTCTCGTCCCGGCCGCGCCGCCTCTCCGGTAATGAGCTGGGGACGTGCCCAAGTTCTTTGCACTCTCCATTATCCACAGACCGAGACGCCACACTCGCTTATCCAAAAACTGGATGTGAGGCTCCGGCCTCAGGTTTTCGGTCGGGCTTGGCAATATGTCTCCGCCCGCGTCAGGCTGTAGCGTTCCTGCAAAGCTAATCAGTTTCTCAATCAAGTAAATGGGAGAATTTGGTTAAGTACTGGGCGGCTCGGAAACACACAGCCGCAAAGGAGCCTCACCAGGCTCCACGTGGCGAAAGGGGTGCTGGGAGTCCTCTACGCGGGACAGTCCGAATTGGCTTGTTGGCCCTGGGTGGAAAAGGGAACGAGGGTCTGCAGGACACACATAGACACAACTCAACACAAGCCTCCCACCGGCCAGCGCACCCCTCCATCTCCGGGCAACAGGCTCGTTCTCCGAAAGAGCAAAACAGGCGCCCCCACGTGGGGGCAGGGGCGGGCGGGGGGGGGCTCCCGGACCAGACCATCTGGTTTAGCCTAGCCCAAAAGTACAGCTCTAGGGGTTGGGGGTACTTTTCTAAAATTGAGGCTTACGAACCACCGGCCCACAAGACCGCGTTTTGGCCTCGAACCTGTATGGACGAGCTCCTTCCTGTGATCTCTGGCGACTCTACCGCAGCGCTAACGATCCCAGAGAATCACAGCTGCTTTCCCCTTCCCCAGCAGTACTCGAACGATCCTCCCTACAAATTCTCCGGGTAACTCACCGCCCCCTTTGACCCCCGGTAATTCCCTTCAGTCCCCAGACCTGCAGTCACTGTCTGCTGGTGACTTCCACAGGTCCCGGCCCTCACGAACTGGAAAAGACCTCTGTGGTCTAGCACGTTCCTTTGCTGAGACCTCGTGGTCCCTGAAGAGGGCGAAGGAAGAAAAATGGGGCCGTCAGAACCAGCCAGGGAAGCGGGAGTCCGGACCCCTAGGGAGCGCCCGGGCCTGGAGTGCGAGTTCGGGGCTGGGTTGGACTCTCGCGGCCCTCCCCCAAGGTTCCCCGGGCCGCCCAGTCACGTGGGCAGCGGGGCCGGCAGGTAACTCGCCCAGAGAGGGCGGGGGCCGGGCGCCGCCGCCGCCCCCGCCGCCGCTCCCGGGCCCAGACCCCTCGGCAGACTCCGCCGCTGACCCCTGCCCCGGACCTGGGCCATTGGTCATCCTGTTCGGAGCCACGGCCGGTGCGCTGGGGCAGGACCTGGGCTCCGATGAGACCGACTTAATCCTCCTGGTCTGGCAAGTGGTGGAGCCGCGGAGTCGCCAGGTAGGGTGGAGAGGAGGCGGCGGGGGACCCTAGGGAGCTTCAGGGCGGGAGCCCGG